CCCCCCCCCCCTGGGATTGTTTGGGACGGCTAACGGGGAACTCTCGATGGTCCGCACGGACTATCAATGACTATCACTACCTTGGTACTGCGGTCACTTGTCGGGAAGCGTGTGTTACAGTCCACAGTCGCACAGTCAGTTCTGTGACTAAGGCCTTGTTGATGCTGATTTGGGCACTCTTCGTGCAGTGCGACCAATCACCATTGGCGAGGCCTGAGATAGTTTGTGAGCCCATACCCTCACCTCAATAGCAGCTTTTCAGGAAGTCACCGTGTCCTATTTGGATGATGCAGGATTGCTCATGGACGTAAAGTCCCGGCAGAAGGACGATTCGTGAACACATTGTGAGGAGTTGTGCCGTGAACGTGTCCTCACACAGAGTACGTCAGCTCGTTGCTCATGTCGTCATGGTGTGGGCAGGAGCTGCAGGAGCGCTATGAGTTCAGGCTGCAGTGTGAATGTGTAAATGACAAACGTGGCGGCAACAAGTCTTGGCTGGCAGGTGTCAATGCCGAAGGTGCACTTCAGTGGATGACACCCGGAGGTTTAGTTGCACGTGTGGAGGCCAGGCTATGCCGGGCTACAGAATTCAGACGGTGCAGTGACAACGTTACCAACTCAGAAGGCCTCCCGGCAACATCCCGGAACTTTGGTCGTATGTGGTTTCAAGATGTACCAACCCCATCACAGATCCCACCACAACCAGCACTTCCTCGCAGCCTTGCAAGTGGGGATCCTCTCGGTTGCATTGGTGGTCTTGCGAAAGCAGCTCTCGGAGCCTTCATGAACGCACTCATAGCTTGGCCTTGCATCTGGCCTCTCCACCCTTTCCTCACCTCCCTCCTCATCCAAACCCTGAAGTCCCTGCACCCGCGCAACTTGGCCTCCCCGCGCCGTGTGAGGGGATCAGCTACCCGAACGGGGACGCCTCCGCTGTCAGCAGTGTGAACGGAGCAGTGAGGGGTCTGAGCTCTTCGAGGCCGAAGAGCCGCTTGGACTGAGGGTCATGTAGTAGTAGTTACTTCGTGGTCATCTCCATCATGTTATGCAGTCACCAGCCATGATCTACCCATTTAATCCTGTATCATCATGTCATCTGTCTGTTTATTTGGTTAAGGGGATTTGATGAATGTGGAGGTGTTCTCCCTTTGGGTAAGGAAGGCTGCCAAGTCCTTGGAAGCGGCACGCTCTGGAGATTTGGAAGAAGAAGATGAGGGCCATGAGCTGATGAAATGTCATCGGAACCTTGCAGTCAAAGTTTGTTCTCAGCCAGTAGATTTTGTTGGGAAAGGTCAAAGGCACTCCATACCTGATTCTACAACATTACATGATTCTTTGTTCTTGGGTCACTATGACAGCATTGTACAATGACGCAGTACTTCGCCGTTGAAAGAGAACTTGCCCCCAACATCTTCAACTGCTGAGAGGGCGACAAGAGAGCAAAGTGAGTAATGATGCGACGTCACAAGTGCCAACTGCCAACCTGAAGGGCTTCCAAACAAGAAAGGAACAACGACGACTCTGTGCTGTTGATTGGGCATGTGCAGTTTACTATTCAGGTCAGCTGCTAGTCAGATTGGTGATGAATACAGTAAATGTGAGAATTTGTTTAAGTCTTGTCCTCTTGGACACTTACTTGACGTGTGTCTTCATCTTTACCTCACGGAAGCTTCAGCTGAGGTTCACCTCGAAACATCCACATCATCAGCTCACCTTTGCTTTGGCCAATGAGTTTGCCTTTCCAGATCCTGAGGCCGGACGCTACTAGGGGCTCCTGGCATCGCTACTAGGGGCAAGGACGCTACTAGGGGCTCCTGGCATCGCTACTATGTGCAAGGACGCTACTAGGGGCTCCTGGCATCGCTACTGGGGGCAAGGATGCTACTAGGGGCTCCTGGCATCGCTCCTAGGGGTAAAGACGCTACTAGGGGCTCCTGGCATCGCTACTAGGGGCAAAGACGCTACTAGG